AGTTCAATGGAAAGAACAAAGACATACTAGGAACATCGAATATTATAATATAATATTACTGCATTTATCATTCATTGGATTTGTATATCAAGAGAAGTATTGCGACAAACTATATACTTTGTTTCATGTACCCTGTGTCACAAGGATGCCTAAATAAAATAAACTTAAGGGAAGGCCAAAATTGAATATTTCATTATTTTGCATGCATTTTAAAATAAAAATTTTTCGATACAGAATGCCAAATTTATTTGCGCTATTGTGATTGTGTCAAGCATAGCTGTGGCAGAGTTTGTCATTATATTTTGCATGTACTGGAGGAGTAAGACGTAAAAGGACAAGAATCAACAATAATGGTGGTTCTCAAACATTTTGAATTTTTCATTGTTATACATTCATCAGTGTGAAAGCCAATACAGTATGTATGTATTGAACACCGTACTTTAAAATCAAAGCCATATAACTGTGTAGTTTATATTCTAATTAACAATATTAAAAAAGCAAATCACAAATATAATGGACAATCTTCACTATAGAACAAATCTTCCTAATAGAACAACACCGTTACATTTCAAATTTGACGAAAAAATGACCACGTAACCAGAGTGCAATAAATTTGATACGAAATGTTGAACTGTTTAGATTCCATGCCTTCTAATAAATAATGATAACTGCTCGTATCAGTGGCCTATAGTGGAGCAAATGATGGCTTGTATTATAAAGCATCGGCTCCCAACTGGGGGCCACAATGCTTTCACTTTACAAGAATCCTTCCCGTTCCTCCTAGTTTCATTGCCTGATAAGGTCATTTCACAGGGTGTTTTCACTTTGTTGAGCATGAATTGTTTGAACATAATGGGATTTGGAATCCTCCTCACAAAAAAACACTATAAATGCCGCTGGAATGATAAACAGGGAAGGGGACATGAGGGCTAAAAACCTACGGAAGGATTAATTGACGATCACTTTTTTTGCTTCAATACGTTACCCTATAGTTCTTTTAAAATTGCTTCCCGTGAAGTACTGTGGTAATTACGTATTCAGTCTTATGTTATTCGTAATGTCACTTCAAATTATACCCATTCCTAACATCTATTACTTGAAAGCACACCAGATACTGTGGTTTACTATTGCAGTGGGCAATAAAATATGTTTTGGCCGAGTTAGCATTAAAATCACTTTTTTTCTTCTGACATCTTTATTTTGAAACTTATTTTATGATGAATTGTTATATTGGGATAATTTTTTAACTTTCAAAGTAAGTAGGCTTAGTGTTATCGTCAAAGAATAACCAAGTCCGTCTAAGCTTGGATTTCGAGACCTAGATGAATGAAGAGCATTGCGTCACCTTTCAAACAAGGGTAATCCCGTAGTATGTGTACCCGGTTAAGGTTAGGCCATAATTTTATTCCGATTTTCCTTATTTTAGTTCTATTACAAGTTCGGGGACTGTTTGGTTTGGTGATGTGAATATAATCTCGTTACACAACTTGATGTAAAGTAGGTGATCAAAATTAGTTACCTCCATATTGGTATACATACCTCTGGAGTGCCCAAACAAGACCACATTTATGCTGCAAAATGACTGTGTACCCCTATATAGGTTAGGGAAATAGAAAACAGTTTCGAAAAATATCGGAATTGGGAAAATGGTTTGAATCTTGGGATCCCAAGTTGGAAAAGATAAAAAAACCTGAAAAATGATCTGCCAACAATACCCCATGAGGCCTGCGGTCCGCAGTTTGTACCTACCTGATCTAGCTAGTCATGAATTGCATTGCATTCTTTAAAAAAAATATATTTTTGTAATAATCATAATAGGACAAAAGCAAGAGAAGAAAACCATTCAAAATGTGTACCTATGCGGATGTAAAACCTGTCGAAAATGATGAGTTACAAAAGGTTATGTCATGTAAAAATTACACAATATAGACATGACAAAAACAACCCTCTCGGTAATAAATCAGTGTTCCCTGCTCCTTAAAACCTAAACTAGGAAAGCATGGAAAGAATGGGGCATATTAGATGTAGGCCTATAAAGAATAACAAAAATAATGAAGAGTTTACTGTAATATTTTATGCTGTATATTTGGCTCACAACTTTTAAAAGTTTCCAAATATTTCATTGGCTTTGATAAAAAGGAAACATTAATACTGACGGAGCGCCGGTATATCACGCGTGCGTGACCATTCCCATAACAAAAAAAACATTCGAGAAATTTCAGAGCATCAGAGAACCGCGCTAAAGCTAACATAGTAGACTGGTTAGTTATTTACTAACCAGATAACAAAAGATTATTTGAATAGAGAATGAATCAGCTGACTGAAGGAATGCTTTTAAGTAAATAGATATGGCTGAGTTTTTGTTTGAGGTCGATAGGGGTGAAACAAACATGAGAATTCACCCCAGGGTATAAATAGATTGAAAAGTAGTGATTTCCATTGAGATGGGTTGCTTTCCAAAGATTATAATGCGGTGTACTAAAAACATGTTAGTAGTCGTTATTTTTTAACTAAATACAAAAGCTATACCTCACAAATAAACAATGTATCAGCTGACTGGAAAGGAGTGCTATTTGGTTTCTGGCAAAAGTAAATAGGGGTGAAGTAATGAAGATGATCTGATTCAGCCTTGACAGTGAATATGATAAAACAAAGAAACTGAAGAAGGATGTAATTGAATGTTTAATCCAGGGGCATGGCATATGGACCCCCCTTTTAAAAAATGGTGAAAAAATTGGTTCTGTATAATGCATAATAGCAATTTTTCATAACTAGAATCGTCTTTCAGACACTAAAGACTTTTGACAACCCCCGTTTTCTGTCTACTTCCTACATATTATTCTGGTACGTTATATAGCTAACGTTTTACCTTGAATGAACTCCAATGACCCCACTAAAATAATAAAAAATGATTATTCATTATTGAATTATTCAGTTATTTTCAGAATACTGTACTACAATACAGTGGCGCAACCAGCGGGGGGGTTACGGGGGTCGTGTCCCCCGTTTGAAATTCTTTTTTTTTATTATTGTTCTACGTTCAAACAACGTCGTTCTACGGTCATAACAATCCGGTGAAAACTAATTTTTTCCAGTGCTTTATCACCTCGACGTAATTTAACACCGCCCGACTTCAATCATACCTTTTTGCTGTTAGTTACGTAATAATCGCTATCCCCGCGTATATGTTTGTATTCGAAAATGGGTTATGTTACCTCAAAAAAGTAGAAATCGCGCGCTGTCGATGCGAATTGAAAGCGACAATAGCATAATGCTATCTCTCTCTCTCTTGTGAAGAATACTCTCGTGCTTCATCATCTTGACGCAATGTAACGCCGCCCGTCTTCATGTTATAATAATGCAGTAGAAGCTCTGAAAATCTGGATACGAAAATTATTTTCGGAAAAATATTGCTTCGATTAACCTAAGATTTTCTACATATGGAAGGCCAAAAACCGAAAACGCCGTACACATCCTACCGCCCCTGTCCACGTTCTGATTTAAGAACATTTCACAATTATTTCATTTTTTATCGCAATCGAAAGCAGCCATGTGTGGCACGGCAATACCTAACAGTCGTCGTGAAAGGTTTTCAATAAACTCCGACTTGAAGTGCTTATAAGACGTCGAGGACGTTTTTGGTTACAAATTTATTACATTTTTTATCGTATATTTCAATTAAGTCAAGATACGTTGTGCGCCTCGTCAATAAACTTATTAAAAGCAAATCCTGCCCTAATTGTTTTCATCCTCAGTTTCGATAGCTATCGAACTTAACGGGAAATTTTTTAATTTCTTGCAATCTATAAAATAGCTTCTAAATAATATTTGGTTTCTATCGGAGATTTTATCGTTATCCCGACGTCGTTGATAACAATATCGTTCATTTTAAGTTGGAGGTATTGGTTTATAATCAAAAAATTATAACACATAACACGAAAAATTTAAATCAACGCCGACTCAAAAAGTAAAACACGTTTTTCTATTTTTATTCTCCATTATTGGCGGACGGAAATTTGGGAATCGGGTTTAACTAATTTGATTATGATGACGATGGTAAACAAAAGTACACAAACATACCATACCGTTTCTAGTCGTTATTTCTCTGTCCCTTCTTCTTTCTATGTGCATATTGAGACCATAAAACTTGTTTTATTTTTGAACTCTGCGCTGATTTGAATATTTCATGTCGGCTGTTATGTATTTTTGTTTGTAAATGAATACCGCTAAATTAAACTGAACGATGTTGTCATCAACGCCGGATGCCGACGAAATCCGCGATAGATATTAAATACTATTTAAGAGCTATTTTATACGCGCTAATTTACAAGAAATGAAAAAGTTTCCTGTTATGTTCGGTCACTATCGAAACTGAGGATGAAAACAACTAATTAAGACACAATTTGCCGAGGACGCCTAAACCATCTCGACTAAGTTAAAATACACGATAAGAAAATATTTTCAATCAAAAACGTCCTCAAAGTCTTATAAGTTCTTCAAGTCAGCATTTATCAAAATTCTTTCATGTCAGCTGTAATATATTGCTGAACCACACATAGACGACGACGCTAGGATATGTGCGCCCTATTCGGGATTATTATAAACACGAAAAAACAGTATTTGAAGTTTGCGATATTTAAATTTAAATTCGATTTGGACATCCCTGCATTAAATTAGTCAGTTTTTAGTTGTGTTTCCAAAAATTAGTTGTAAATTAAGTATTTTAATTGTCATTATGTCTTCCGGTGAGCTTCAGTTTAGTTTGGAATTTTTTGGGGGTTAGGGTCGGGAAAAGGTCCATTCGCAAGAAGTGCATTTTGTTTTTGGTCTTGACAAATACACCCAACGAGCAAGGCACGGAACGAGGGAAACACTGGAATTTATTCAAGCCGTGTTTCACTATCCACGAGGCACAAAGCGAGGGAAACGTTAAAAATAATTAACAATTAACTTTTCGTTAGCAATTCGCTGGAATGTAATGAACGGCGTTTTGCTACCCACGAGGTGCAAGACATAGCGAAGCGCCGTTAATGAACGAGGCCAAGGTAAGCGAAAGACTGGAATTTAATCGATGGCGTTTCCCTTTTAACCACGAGCAATTTATCGTGTTTTAGCTGGGCGACACCTAGTGGCGTTGCGACTTACGTCGTGGTTGCACTGTGTAAATTCCGGTCGGCCCCCCGTTGAAAATGGCCTGGTTGCACCACTGCTACAATATAAACTAGACATGCAGCTGCCTGTATTATTTCTTGTGTCAGTGTTCTCACTTTTGTCACCCAATTCATCTGCTAAACAGATTAGAAGGCATATCTATGGACCTTCAAAAGATGGAGAATATTGTCAGAAAGACTACTTCGAAACTGCTAAGGGTTGGTTGGAGGAAAGGTACTGCAAGAAATGCAGAAGAGGATATGAAAATAATGATACAGAACATTCTAATACATGTACCAAGTGAGTCAAACATTTGAAATTTGGAAGAATAATTAGATTGCTGTACCCACCACCTGATGAAAGGTGGTTGTTCATGCACAGGATTTTCTGTAATTTACCAAATCACCAAAGCATTCTTTATTTTAATTAATTCTATTTGTCTTATTTTCCATTAGTTAAACGACAATGCACTCTCTCTCTTTGACATGTACACAGTACATGCAACGAAGCGCTTTATGGGTATTACACCATTAGAGTTTTTCAAACTTATCAACACACATAAAGGCCACAGACTGTTTTTTATACGACTCTCAAACACATATTCTAATCCAAACGAGGCCCTATATAAGCGGACACTCATGATATGTACATAATTATTTTTATTATTATTTGCAAGGGAATTTATTCTCTTAGTATGTGAACTAATATGACGGGCACCGGAACATAGTATGTGAACCATGTTAGGCCATAATTTTATGTACAGATACTAAAGGAGTACTACTACTTGTCTAGTCCCTGAACTCGTAATAAAAATGAGGAAAGTTGGAATAAAATTATGGCCTAACACTAATAAAGTACACATACTACATTACAGTGCCCGCCCTCTTGGTTAACATACTTCGGGATTATATTTGAAAGAACCTGATTCATCTCAAATACGTGTTGCTTACCCAATTTAATATATCCTAGGCGAAGTGTGGGATTTGTAGGCCACATAAGTAGCTTGACTAAACAATTCACTAGTTATATTATAAAAGGTGACCGTACATTTGAACCCACGTGTATATCCGCGGGTTCAATCTATATGCGGGTGCTAAAACCCATGGGTTAGGGTTAGTATGGGTTCAAACATCCGTAAAACAAAAAAATTTCCATAAGTGCAATAGTATGCAGGTGCAATTGTCGTGGGTTCAAATGTACGTGGGTTCAAATGTAATGGAACCATTATATAGGGTGTACATACCAACAGTGAAAAGTCCATCAATGCTCTTCTTGAATTTAAACATCTCTAGTGGGATTCGAACCCAATCCTCACGATGAATATGCTTCTATCAACTTTGACGTTCTCTCACACTAAATATGTAATATTATTTTTAGAATCAAAACAAAACCGACCACACAATCGCCAAAAGGAAAGAACATTACTGGAAAACAAAAACCTATTAAAGAGCAAAACTGTATTGTTTCTAATTTGATGTCAACACCAACAACAAATGTGTACGAGCAAACGAAGAAAGTTCCATCATCCCCAAAAACACAAACAACGACACCCAGCAGAATTAGTCATGATGTTGAAAACCATGAATTCAAAAAAAAAACGACACCAAGAATTTTACAAAGGAAATTAACATCGTGTGCAAAACCCAAGCCTTTAATGCTACTCCTTACATTTGCACTATAGCGATACTGTCGATCGTAGCTGTGGCAGAATTTCTGTTATATTTTGGATGTGCTATAAACCCAAGCAATGAAAGGACAAGAATTAAACTACACTGAACTCGCTAATGACACGTTCCCCTCGTTTTATAAAATTTAGTTATCTCCATATATTTATTTGAACGTAAGCTGCAGTGACATGTCAAGCTTTACATGAATGTAACACATAACTTTTGAAGTGTGATATCTCTCTATCTCACTTGTAAGTGTTTCGGTGGCCCAGCATTGGGCCATGGCCCACTGGTTGAGAACCAGTTCACCAGCTGTTACACATATCATCATTAGTGGAATCCTATCTAATATTTATTGAACACCATATATTGAAATCCATGCTATATAGCTATGTTGTTTATCGTCTTTAGTTCAGCAATAAAAAAGCAAAACATAAATATAATATGAATAATCTTCACTGAAAAACAAATTCATGACATTTCTACACACATTACCCAAGGGATGTAATAGATTAGTTGCAGAATGCCTAATCGAAAATATTCTGAGCTTTCCTAAAAACTGGTCTCTGTTATGTACCAGTGGATGGCTATGACCAATAACAGCAAATGCCAAGGCTACTAGCCAAAAACATGCAAAATCGCAAAAAAACAACAAAAACATGCAAAAACCATGCTGTTAACACATGCATATGTTCGGCCTCTTTGATTATTAAAAAAGCAAAAACATGAAGTGTCTGTCATTCTTATATAAGGTAAAATAATGGCTTTGTCCAAAAGACTTGATGAAGTTTACTGGTCAATATACAAACTGGTTATGACTTCCAACATTATTTACCGATAAGTCCATGATTCTGGTACAAAACCATTTCCAGTCAATCCACAAAACCAGTCAATTTTGTTTCAAACAATATATTGCACAGTGTTTTCATACACTTTTACATGCTTTTTATGCCACTCCAAAAGTATGTGTACAAATATGTAGGTAACTAATTGTTATTACCTACTTTACATCAAGTTGTGTAAAGGGACTGAAGCCTATGGGTAGGCGGATACTCACTTGGTTAACACAGACAGTCCCGAAGTCATATTAGCACTAAAATAAGGAAAATCGGAATAAAATTATGGTCCAACCCTAACCTGGTACACATACTACGGGAGTACCCCTTTTTATAGCAAAATATTATCCCTTTACAATTTTTAAATAAGATCAAGTGTCATATTATCTTTTCAAGTGTTCAATCCAAACCAATTTATAATTTGTAAACAAATTATATTCAGTAATTAACTGTGAATTTGAATGAATTTTTGGTCGAAATCTCCAGCATACTGCATGGTGTCTAAAAAACGACGTGCCCCGTTTTTTTTAACACACATTAACCACTATTATATTGTAAATAAACATTTTGAGATCAACTGGTGATTTTGTCTGTTTTCTGGCTGAAATTGTTCAATCCAAATGTACCTACCGACATATTTTGTATATTTACAATTTATAACTAACTTTTTTTGTACGTGTGTATGTGTAGATTTGTTTTTAGGAAAATTTTCTTATAAAGCAATAAACTCAAAGATCATCGCCAGGTATTATGGTTTTATATTACTAATGAATACTAACTTGGGATAGAATTCCAACAATTATGCCCTGGGGAGAAGAAAGTTGAGTTTAAATCATATGCGAGACCACAGCCTTTTCTAACCCAGTATACCAATCCATGGCAGTATGAGATTAGTTAGCCAGTTGTTTGTTTTTGATGCTCCAGAAGTATGTGTACGAGTATAGCGTAATTAATTTCGTTCGCCTACTTTACATTAAGTTTGTAAAGGAACTAAAGCCTATGAACAGGGGGTATATTCAATTTGCTAGTCCCAAATTCGTAATAGAACTAAAATAAGAAAAATCGGAATAAAATTATGGCCTAACCTGGTACACATATTACGAAAATATCAAAAAAAGATTTTCAGAATAATCCTGGGAATATGGTTGGAATATTCAATCCAAGTTAGGTATTCAATTTTAGTTTTAGTTTTTTTAGCTTTATGTTTCATCAGAAAAATCGGTACTCGGAAGTACGTGTACCAGGTTAGGATAAGGCCATATTTATTCGAATTTTTCTTATTTTTAATTCTATTACGAGTTCGAGTACGTCTGTTTAGCCAAGTGAATCCGCCCTGTCCATAGCGCTGTCCCTTTTATACAACAATAATTAGTTACCTCATATTGGTACACATACTTCTGGAGTGTCGAAAAATCAAGTTGAATCACCTGATTTGGGGGTGTCCTCTTATTAGGCGAGTATGGTGATTTTCATTTTTTTGATGTCGCCTTATTATTGATACCGGACAATAAAATACCTTCGGTGATAGCTTCCCCCACGAGAAGCTACAGAAAAGTTATTGTGGGCTATTTTAACCAATGCGTAAACGCAGCGACCGCCGAATAATAATTACATGGGATCTTTTATTCTTGACAAGAGTGACAAACCCAGATTTTTTACAGAGCATAGCTCCATATGTACAAATCGATCCTAATTTTTTTTTTGCTTTCGAAATATTCGTTCCCCTTTTCGAAATGTAACTAGCTTCGTGGTCCAAAGGTGGTTCATTATGAAAATTTGTTTATCATTTTTCACCATTAATGAAATGGGTACTTCTGAAGTGTGTGTACCAATATGGAGGTAACTAATTTTGTTCGTCTACTTGTCCCTACAGAACCCTGAAACACTTTTAAAGACCCCCAGATGAAAACTGCTAGTATGAAACAAGAACAACAAGTTTCTGCATTTCCAGTTATTTTTATTATTGAAAGCTTCTAAAATAGTTTGATTTATATAGATTGCATTATTTGATTAAATAAGATGCTGATAAAACATATCAAAAAAAGACACCGAGATGTATTTATATAACTGGAGTCAGAGTCATATTTTCAAACTTTTTGAAGTCAGAGTCACAATTTTCGAAATCTATCGTGAATAAGGCTTGGGGGGGGGGGGGGGGGCAATCACTTTCCTGAGTGGGCCACATACAGAGAAAAGACTTCGTTATTGGGACGGGGGTTAAAAACTCAATATAAAGTTATAAATGAAAAACAGTTTACTCACAAATAACTAGAGTCAATAACATTTGCCTGTCTACTCGTTTCACTGATGTAATGCAATAATTATTTGTAAGTGGGGTAATTTAGATCCAAGAAATTCATAATCGTACTTTCAGCAAGCCCAAAGTGGGCCAGATGAAACAGTTCGGTGGACGGGATCCAGTCTGTGGACCATAATTTGCCCATCCCTGATCTCAGTAATAATTCTTGGCAAAAATTACCATATTCTACTAACCCAGTGGTTCCCAACTCGAGTCCGCGGTCTCAAATGAGTCCGCGGAGCGTTTAAATGAGTCCGCAACGAACCAGAAACAATTCCAGAAAACTATCATCGACGATCTACATTAGAATTTACATAAACATAAAAAGCAAGTTTATTTACATAACAATAATCGGGTCAATAATTACTGGTTACTGAGTGGGGCTGGGCATCTATTCAACTAACAGAATACCAATTTAATATTCGAAAATTTGGTAACAGGTGACGCGACAGGTCACTTGAATTTCACAACTCTCTTGAGGATTTCCGACGAAAACATGAGTCTACACATGCTTTAATAGATACTTAAGTGGTGTTTCTCGCGAATTCGAACAACTAAGAATAATTTTCTTTTTGTTGCCAATGGTGGCAACCCAAATTTTCTAAATTGAAAAACGGCAATATAAAATACTAAAAAATAGAACGGAGAACACCATAAGTTTTTTTTATGATGGACCGCAACCGATTAAATACGCTTTTTTAGACATTGCAAATCGCAAAATTTCGTGTGCTACCGAAATATATGTATCAAGGCATTTTTCCCTAGGAGTATTGGCTCCGCAAGTTACCATGAACACGATTAAATAAAATAGAAAGACATTTTCAATTCTCGTCCTTGAATTGAATATTGTGCGACAGAAAAGCCATTATACACTAAAAAAGTCGGCTTTATTGCTCCTTCACACAGAGTACGGTTGTAATAAACGCACCTTAGGTCCGTAAAGGTTTTCGCCGGTGATAAAATAGTCTGCGACCAAAAAAGATTGGGAAACGCTGTACTAACCATACGGTGGACCGAGTAATAAAGCGCACTGCCAATAAATTGCTTAGATAGAGTTTTTATTAATACATAAGGTACTGGTACAAAATAAAGCATTATACAATCTACACATCGAAAGCCAGGGTTGCTAGCTTATAAGGCACATGATCAATTTAAAAAAAAGTACGCCCCTATGGTCCATAAAATACGATATCTAAGCTTCTATAAAGAAAATTATTTTTGATTGAAATATAATGTTCTTGAATTCAAGTGTCAGGTAAAAATTTCCCTCAATCTGGAGAGTGTTTTTAAATATTGTGGAATTTAAAGTTGAGTCATAAGTTTTGACAACTCCATGTCCATGAAGAAAATACCAATGGGAACGCTCAGAACAGTACCAATGGGAACACTCAGAACAGCACCAATAGGAACACTTAGAACGCCCTCGGGCCACTAGGGGGCAATAGATAGATTCTTTGGGGCCCACAGGCAATAGCCTTCTAGGTGTCTATGATCACTACATTAATTCAAAAAAAAATTAAAAAAGATTGTTAAAAAAAATAGCTCTCCGCGGGCCACACAATTTTTTTATTTGGGCCGCATTTGGCCCGCGGGCCTCAGGTTAAGGTTGTCAGCTTATAAAAAACATAATTAATTTAAAAAAGAATAGATTTATATTGTGCCCTTATGGTCATGGTCCATAAACTATGATTTCTAAAAGGACAATAAATCAAAGCTTCCATCATAAAAGTATTTTTGATTGAAATACAATGGTCTTGGATTCGAGGGTCCAGTAAAAATTTCCCTCAATCTGGAGAGTGTTTTTAAATATTGTGGAATTTAAAGTCGGGTGGTAATTTTTGAGAACTCTATGATCAGAATGAAAACACCAATGGGAACGCTTAGAACAGCAAGCTGGGACCTTGGGCGCCCTAAGAGACAACGGATAGATTCTTTGGGGGCCACAGGCAGTAGCCTCCA